GGCCCTGAGTCCCCCCAGAGAACAGGCATGTTGGAGCTCCTACCCCAGCCCCTCAGAATGGGGCTATTTGGAGACAGGCCCTTTAAAGAAGTGATTTTGTTCAAATGAGGCCACTAGGGTGTCCTTATAAGAGGAAATGTGGACATAAAAAGAGACCGGGCATGGGGGCGCCAGCCTGTGAGCCCAGAGGCTTGGGAGGCTGAGGTAGGAGGATCCTGAGTTCAAAGTCAGCCTCAGCAACTGAGGTCCTAAGCAACTTAGTGAAACTTTGTCTCTAAATAAAAAAATAAAAAGGGCTGGGGACGTGGCTTCCACGGTCAAGTGCCCTTGGGTTCAAACCCTGGTACCAAAAAAAAAAAAAAAGAAGAAGAAGAAGACGACGACATGCGGGATGTTCCCCTGCCAAGGAGAAGCCCTGGGAGGACTCAGGAAGGGCCACCTTGCAGCCAAGGACAGAGGCCTCGGGAGGAGCCAGCCCTGCTGACTTCGCCTCCAGAACTTGGAAAAGGTGAATTTCTGCGGCTTGAGCTCCGCGTTGGCAGTGAACCCACATGCCGAGCCCCGGCGGGGACCGAAAGCTGGGGACAGGGGATGTAGTCAGTGCAGGCCCTGGATTCCACCCCGTACCACACACCACACACCACACTCACACACTCTCTCTCTCTCTCTCTCACACACACACACACATACACGATTGACATTACGCTGTGACAATACACTGACTATCTCTTGTCAGACTCTCTCCTGGAGAAGAGTACTCTCCTCCTATTTCAGAGTTGAAGAAAACTAAGGCTCAATATAAAAAAGGGCTGGAGATGCGGCTCCACAGGTAAACACCATGGGCTCACTGCCTGGTACCAAAGCAAAACCCAAAACCCTGAGGCTCAGCTGGTGAGGGAGAGGACTCCACTGGAATCAGGTGACTGTGACTCCAAAGCCCCTTCAAAGCCAGCCTCCAGCATCCACCCCCAGGGCCCTCCTTGGGGGAGCTGTGTCCTCCTCTTACATCCAGCACCTGAGGCCCAGAGAGGCACTTGCAGACACTGTGGCCAAGATGCCGAGTGTGGACTGGAGAACATTCTGGCCTTAGGAATGGATGCTGAACAAAGGATATCTCCTGCCTCCTTCTGGGGGTTAGGGGGTCCCCACTCCTGGCATGAGCAGAGGGTTTTGACCCTCCTGGGGCTGCAGTGTGGTAGAGTGGGTGGAGCAGGGGACTGGGTCAGGCCACCCAGGGTCCATTCCCGGGATGTGGCCCTGGACATGTCTTTACTTCTCTGAGCCTCGGTCTCTTCATATGCGAAATGGGAACAGCAATCCCTACCTCAGATGGGTGTGGGAGGTCAGAGAAGGGGGAGGGAGCCCCTGGACACAAAGGGATCCATGCTGGGTCCCTCCCTGTGTGGGGTCAAGGAAGGCAGCAGACAGGAGACGGCTCCTTGACTAAGCTCACCCCGATGCAGGATGTGGCTCAGTGGTAACCAACTCCCCACCCCCCAGTTAGTAACCAACAATGTGGCTGGGCTGGGGTGTCCCAACCCCAGAGAGAGGCTTCCCCCCCCGCTGCCACAGGAGGGTGGGCAGAAGTGGCCAGGAGGCAGCAGCACGAGAACGGCAGTGGGCATTCTCCACGGGTGAGGTCATCACCTCCCACTCCCCAGGGCAGCAGTGGGCAGTGGCAGGACTCAGGGCTGGGACACAGGCTGCTGTAAGGTCTCAGCCTGGTTCAGGGCTTGTCCCTCCCATCCTGGGCGCTGAGCAGAGGAAGAGCCAGGGAAGCCAAGCAGCTCCCGCTTGCCCACGAGGTGCTGCGGTGCCACTTAATCCTCCCCAGGACCTCACTGGCACTGACTCACCAGCCCCAGCTGGTGCTCAGGGGACACAGAAGTCTAGTTAGACTTTGGAGTCAAATATGTGAGCTCTGACACCTGCCCCTGCCTAGTGACTTTGGCTCTCTGAGCCTCCGTTTTCTTCCTCTGTAAAATGGTGACATCAGTCCCTGTCTTTTCTGCATGACACAGGTGCGTGCATTCGGCAGCAGGTTCACATTCTACTGCTGCGGAGTTGAGCCTCAGAATGCCCAAGTAAGGCGACAGGTCCCACAGCCTGCAGGTGGACGGCAGTATCTGAACCCCATCTGAGTCTTCCTGCCCTCCTGCTGTTGTGGAGTGGCCAGTGTGGCCCCTGGCCCCCAGAGGGCTGCCAGGAGGTGGCTGGAGAGGCGAGGCTCCTTGGAACAGGAGTGGCCCAGATTTCCTGTGGAGCCACAGACCCCAGCCCTGGCAGGGCTCAGGGTCACCCTGCAGCTGGTGTTCCAGGCAGTGGGGAGGAACACGCCTGGAAGCCTTGCTTGCCAATGGCATCCTGCGCACTAAGGACGTGGCCCGGCATTGTTTCGAGGCCCTCCCAGCCCAGGGCGCACTGAGGGATTTCCGCAGCCCGCCAGGACTGCCTTCACTTTCTGGAAGAGCTTTCCCAGGTGGCCAGGGTGGGGGTCGAGCTGGCCTAGACCCAGACCCTTTGCCGGGGCAGGGAGTGCTGGGAAGGGCAGGGTCACAGCACCAACATCCTCTCCACCTGACAGGTCCTGGACCCAGAGTCTACCCTGCACAGAGACAGTGTCCCCCACGCTCGCCTCTCCTGCGGAGGGGAGAGAGGGTGGTGTCTTATTGTCGTTTTGCTGTGGCCGAAGTCAGGGCCCTTGGGTTCAGATTCCAGCCCTATAGGAAGGTGCTAAATTGGCAGGTCCCCCTTCTCCGTGCCTTCAAGGGAGGCTGGATAGCCCCTCGGGTCCCTTCACACTGCCCAGAGAATAGCTCGGGATCTACCTGCTGCCCCTTCTTGCTCTGGGGTCCGTAAAGCTTAACTTCCTTGCAGGGGGCTGGGGACAAAGCTCAGTTGGCAGAGTGCCTGCCTGGCATGCACAAGGCCCTGGGGCCAATCCCCAGCACCACACACACACACACACACACACACACACATTCCTTGCAGACAGTCAGATTCTCTCCCGTGTTTGGCACGTTTTAGAAGGACCGTGTCAGTGCCCACTGTACATTCTAATGCTTCCAAGAGGTGCTCAGCTCATGGAACGTATCTTGGCCACTCCATGGCTGTCCCTCTGTGAGCCAGGAGGTGTCTGTCCTGCCTGGCAGGGCAGAGGTGGTGGCAGAAGCTTAGAGCTGGTGAAGGAGCTCAAGCCTCCTCCAGACCAGCTGGATACGCTGGGCACTAGAATTAAAGCAGGAAGCCACACCAGGGAGTCTCGAGGCTGAGAGGAGCCTGAGCCCTTGTCCCCTCCCCAAGCTCCTCAACCTGGTGGCTAAAGGCTCTCTCTGCTCCAGCCTGTGGTTGTACTGCCCACCTGTTCCACGGCCCTAAAACTGAGACACGGAGGGCCACTGGGGGCTGCCTTCGCAGCGCCAGCGGCATCCCTGGTGAGGTCAGAGCTTTGGAATTAGTGAGACAGGATCACCCTGAGGATTCTGTGCTCACAGCCAGTGACTCATGGCCAACAGCCTCCCGGGCAGAGACTGCCAACTTGGAATGCCCAGCCACGGCCGCAGGCTCAGTTCGCTTGGCCAAGCACCTTCTGAGGGACGGCTGGGGTGGCAGAGGCCCTGCCTTTGGCTCCAAGCCTCTGACAGCTCTTCACACCCACCTAGGGGGAGAGGCCAGACTCCCACCTGGGTTCCTATTAGGCAAGGTCACATTTTAGATGTGACCTTGGGCAAGTCAATTTCGCTGAAGGTTTCTCCACTAAATAATACTTGCCTCACAAGAGTGGAATTGAATGAGGTAATGAGTGTAGCAAGTGCTCAGCCAAGGGCACCTTTTAAGGAACAGCGGGTGCAGTGGAAGGGCTGGGCCCAGCTCTGGCCCCACCCCTCACCCATGAATGCCCTCTTGCTCAACCCCTGCCCTTTTGTGTGAATGAGCAGACACTGCCGGCCCTGTTGGCTCACCAGGAGGTCGAGATCTTGTACTTTATTACAGAGGACTAAGGAGGGCAGTGCCCTGGCCTGGGGGCCAGCCAGCCACTCACAGGCCTTATGACCTGGGACATGCTCTGTAACCTCTTAGCAGGTATCCTGTGGAATGTGGGAACAAGACCCTAATGTTCTTTGGGTGGGGCAGCTTTGAGGGAACAGGCCTGTGCTTTGATGGGTCTTGAACCTGAGGACTTTAAAGCCACCATCCCTCATCAGCTGGCCCCTCTCCTGCTCCGCTGTGGCCTTCCTGAGGCACCCCTGGGTGGTCCTATCTCTTGGGAGTGCTTTGTTCAGAGAGGGTCTTGCTGTTACCTAGGCCAGGGAAGCAGGCCACTGCTGTGGTAGCAGGATCTCGGGGTACTATGGCAATCCCGCTACTGCAGCCCCCAGAATTGCTAGGCCTGCAGGTAAGCCACCACATCTGGCTTTCTCGGCGGTTCTAGTGAAAACAGCTGTGCCACCAAGAACGCACAACCAGTGGACACTCATCCTGGGCCAGGGGCAGGGTGTCAGGACACTCCTGCCACCTATCACTGAAGACCTCTTCTAGGCAATGGGACCAGGTGGCAGGCTGGCTCTAGTAGGGAGGCAGAGCCCAGGTAGCTGCTATGGCCAGGGGGAGCCGGACCGGGAGTGAAGTCTGGTCCAGGGCTTGATTTCCTGTGAGAACACACGGAAGGGAGGCTGAGCCTCTCAAGGTTGAGCATCTGTAGGAGCAGCCCGGAGCCAGCAGGTGTGGGAGGTCTCTCTGGGGCCCCAGAGTTCACGTTTCAGAGGCATCAATGTCTGGATGGAAATCCTGGTCTGCAGCCCATGAACCCAGTCCTAGTCTGGGTCACAGAGGCAACACCTTTGGCCCCAAGAGTGTGAAGATGTCTCCAGGACAGAGAGTACCAGTATATGGAGGGATTGGTCAGAGCACAGGGTAGTGGAGAGTCAGAGGAGCAAACAGGGACAGAGGTTGAGCCTGGATCCCAAGTGCTCACAGCTCAGACAGAACGGAAGCTGCCCTCAGTGCAAACCCTGGTTTTATTGGTCTGATTTGTTCACAGTGCAGTCTTCTGCTGAGAGCCAGGGGCTGTGGACAGTGAGGGCGGGTGCACCTGGAGCCTTCCGGTCAAGGGCCTCCAGGGCTCCTGCAGACAGTGCCCTGGTGCCTGGGAGGGAAGGATGGGAGAAGGGCGGCTCTCTGGGAGGCAGGGACAGGGTGGCTGCGGGGTTCAGTGTGGGGCCCAGGGTCTGTTCTTCCCAGCAGGAGGTAGAAGGGACCACATAAAGTTCTTTATTACAGACCTACAAGAAATGAGAGAATCCTCTATCACTCCCACTGTTTGGCTCCTTGTTTTCTCCTTTTTCTTTTACAAAACAGCGGCAGGAAAGAAAAATGCAGGAGGCAGATGAGACGGGGGTTGCAGATCAGAGGGACCAAGGCGATGGGGACCAGCTGCCGTCTGGACAGTCCTCTGCAGGCTGGCCCCGGGCATTCTCTAGCATCTCGGGAGAACATCGACTGGCCCTAGAGGGAGCAGAGAGAAGGAGTGGGTGGGAACACGATGTCCCCTCCCCTGACGGTCACCACTCCTCTGACGGTCACCCTGGCAGTGGGCAGGTGGGCAGCATTGGTGGCTCCGTGTCTGGAGGCTGGTCTCCAAAGCAGGGGCCCACGGGGTGGACACAGGGGTGCGGGGAGGGGAGGGCTGCGTTCTCCTGGGCTCCCCCCAGGACGGGCGTCCAGGCGGGCAAGGGTGCTCAGGACGCTTCCCTGCTCGTCAGCCGATCAGCTTCTTGAGGAAGGCCTCCAGCTGGTCCTCATCTTTGATGCCTACAAACTTGTCCACCACATCCCCATTCTTGATGGCCAGCACAGTAGGCACAGCTGACACCTGGATGGAGGTGACAAGGGAATCCAAGTCACTTGGAGGTGAACACCTCTCAGCAGACATTCCCAAGCCTTTGGTGGGGGGGGGGGGGGGGGGCTTAATGGGGCAGTATCTGCCCAAAGGACAGTGGCCTTCCCTGGTGCAGGAGGCTGCAGGGCTGGAGGCCCGCCGCTGGAGCAGCTGCTTCCATTGCAGCCTCCGGGCAGTTCCCTTCCTCCCTGGCCACGCCACTGACTCCCTGGCCCAGTGGCTTGGCTGGAATGGCAGGAGATGAAAATAGCCCGTGCAGCTGCAGGCCGGGCTGGGTCGGGCTGGGGAGGAGCTGGGGCTTCTAGCTAGGCCATGTGCCTGTCTGGGCCTCTCAGTCCTCCTCAGTCTCCCGGGGATGACAGAGCCCACCTTGAGGGTTTGGGAAAGGGCTGGGACTCACATAGCAAGCTGGTGGTTGGGGTCCTGGCTCTGGGCTGCCTGGTTCAGCTCCCCTGACCCCAGCGGAAGACCCTGGCTGTCCTCTGATTACCCCAAGGGCTTTCTGGAGCAAGGGGACACTGCCACACCTCCTGCAGAGCACAGGAAGGCTGCATGAAATGCTGCCAGTCAAGCCTCAGTGCTAACCTGGTGATGGGTGGGCACTAGTACGGCACCTGGCACAGCGGGCACTCAACCAGCGGCTACAGAAGGCGTGTCAGAGGAGCCCTGCTCAGGGCCCCACGAGAGCTACCACGGCCCGCTGCTGAGAAGAGTAACGGGGTTTGGAAACCCACAGCTCCGACTGGACGGCATGGGTGGTGGTGGGGGGACAGCCATATCCGACCTGACACCTCTTCACTGGGAAGGGAGGGGAGCACTAGCTGTGGCTCCCTCGGGGCGGGGTAGGGTACAGGACTGCAGTGAAGCCACCCCGCACTGGCACCCTCGCCCTGCTGCCTGGGCGCCCTGCCTGGCACTCACAGGCATTTGAGAAAACTATAAACAGAACAAGACAAATACAGACTTCCCTTACACACCAGTAGCTGCAGAGTAACAGGAGCTATCCACACAAACCTACCAGGTGTCCCCACGGCCTGAGCTCTGCCCTGGCCCAAGTCACTCGGGAGGTCAGACCTAGGATTCAGTGTGCAAAACCCGTGCCACGTGGGCTGCAAATGTGCAGGCCAGAGCTGCCCATCCTCAGCCCCAAATCCTCACCTCACACGCCTACAAAGAGGCCCCACAGTCACTCCAAAGAGCACTTTGGGGACAAACAGCAGGTAAGATGACACTGTCCCTGTGACTGAGGTGGGTGGCAGCCGACACTTCTCAAAGAGCATGTGCCACCACAGGCACTGAGCTGACGTGAGTGCACCTGTTCTCGGCTCCCCGCTGCCTCTGTCTGTGTATATTCTGGCACGGGTGACAGCATTAAGGGCCGAAAACTGAGCGCATGGCTCACCCTCTCCAGGTCCAGGTCAGCACGTTCCAGACACACCACAGGCGCTGTGCGCCCCCTGGTGGCCAGCAGAGGACCTGGGGTGCCTCAGGCAGGCAGCCAACTGTGGCACAGGGCTCCAACATGGCTTTCATCTTCACACTTGGTGGACACCATCCTGTGCCATCTCTTTAACGAAAATACATCCTTTATGCCACTGTTTAAGATACGGCCTTTGGCTGGGGATGTGCTCAGTGGCAGAGCACCTGCCTCGCACATGTAGGCCCTGGGTTCTAGGGTTCCACCCACAGGACTGAAAAAACAAGACAAAAAGGGTAGGACTTAAGCCCACAGAGGTGGCTGGAGAGTGTACCCGGCTGTCCTGGAAAGGTCCCTTCATGGCCTCGCAGGCGTGTGCCTTCAGGTGTGCAAGCCCCACGCTGGCACTGGGTGTGCACTTTCATGTCACCTAAGGTCTAGTCCCTGCTGACCAAGGGGAGGCTCTGAAGTTGGAGCTTAAACATTCACACACACTGGGGCTCATAGGAAGCTGGCTTCCAGGATACCATGGGGTCCCTGGGCTGTAACAGGAAGTCACGGCTTTGCTGCTCCCAGGGAACATGCCAGCAGTGGATGGGGACGGGCTTGGTGCTCCCTCTGGAATACTGACAGGAACGGGAGGGATGGAGCCAGGACCCAACCTGTTTCTCTACTGTGGCAGGGCCAAGGGGGCTGGAGAGAGATGAGCCGGGCTGAGCTGTGGTCCTCGGGCTGTGAAGCTACCTGGAGCCTCCTCTCTTTGAAGAACTCAGAGTGGGAAGGTGCATGTGTGTGGTCCCTCTCCACAGATCCCTGGCCCACCCGCAAGGCCACTGGGGCTCAAAGTCCACCAGATCTTCCCCCAATTCACCCAACTCATCCATTTGGTAACCAACTTCACTAAGGGTATACCAAAGGACTGGCATAGTGCTAGGTGTCCTTGGATGCTGGTGGCCTCCTCCTCCGCTAACAGCAGAACTAACACAAAAGAAAATCTCACTGTCATATGCAGGGATGCTGGGCACGTACATGGCTACTTTATAAATCACTGCCTCTAGGTAGGGTCATTATTTATATATATATACAGATGTGTATGTGTATGTGTATGTTTTGTTTTGTAGTGCTGAGGACTGAACCCACGGCCCCATACACTCAGGCAAGTATCCTACGGCTGAGCTACACCCTCAGCCCTATTAGGGTCATTCAGGGACGAAAAGGCTGAGGCTGGAAGGCAGAGTGACTGCTCTGAGATGACCAGCAAGTGAAGGGAAAGAGCTGGCATTTGAAACAGGCTCTGCTTGACTCTGCTGTCCATAACATCAAATCTGCTCTACTGCCACCAAATAGCAAAGAACCAGGACAAATACTGCGTCCCCACAGGATGAAGACCACAGGAAGAAGCGTTCACAGATTTCATGCTTCAAATAAGAAATGCCAATGGGCTGGGTGGTGGCTCAGCGGTAGCGTGCCTGCCTAGCACATGCGGGGCCCTGGGTTAGATCCTCAGCACCGCATATGAATAGATACAATAAAGGCATTGTGTCTGACTACAACTAAAAAATAAATAAATATTGAAACAAAAAGAAAAGAAATGCCAAATGTTTTATAAAAGCTTTTTGAGATAAGAGACGCTTTTTCTTGGAAAAAAGTGTTGTTGAAAAGGCAAATCCAACTATATTACATCCTAGAAAAGGCAACACCGTGGAGACGGTAAGATCCATGGCAGCCAGTGCGGGGGGCACGAGGGACGAGCAAGCGCAACACAGAGTTTTGACAATGATCTGTGCTGATATGGGGTTGTGGCTCAGTGGTAAAATGCGCTCGCCTAGAATGTGCTAGGCCCTGGGTTTGATCCTCAGCACCACATAAAAATAAATAATTAAAATAGTGTGCCTAAATACAGCTAAAAAATAAATATTAAAAAAAAAAAAAAAAGAAAGAAAATGATCTGTGCGATACCACGACAGTGGGTACACATTATCAGACATCTGTCCAAATTTACAGAATGAACCACACCAAGAGTGAGCCCTACTGAGCACCCTGGACTTGGGGTGATGATGACGTGTGAGGGCAGGTCCAGTACTCTGGTGGGAGACGCCGACAGTGGAGAAGGCTGGCGGGGGCAGGGAAATCTGTCACTCTTGCTGTGAACCTACAACTGCCCTAAGAAAACTACCCACCCCCACAGGCACATGTATGATCACACAGACCTATTCCCCCCTGAACCAGGGCTTGAAGCCAGGGCCTCGCGCACTCTGGGCAGTGCTCTTCACAGAGCCACACTCCCAGCGCCCAGTGTCCCTTACAGCAGTCTTCCCAACAAACTCATCCAACATTTGGAAAAGGGCTTGAGGCCCTGGAGGAAGCTGTGCCAGGAGTACTGCGGAGCTCTTAGCAGGAACCTGCTCCCTGTGTGCTCCTAGAACAGGTGTGAGGGAAGGAAGGGTGGGAGGGGTGGGGGAATTCTGCTGGCGTTTCCTAAGCCTTATAGTGACGCAAGTCCAGGGCTTGGCAAAACAGCAGGTGACGTGGGCCCGGCTGCCCTGAGGTCTTTCTGTGTGTCCAGCCCAGCACTTGGACAGCGGGCAGAGGGAAAGGGAGACCTGGCCCCACCAGAGGAACCCCTCATCTTCCAGGTTTGACTGCAGGACATTAGCACCTGTCCCCACATCAGGTCTCCTGGAACCAGGTCAGGGCGGTCCTGGCCATTCTCACCATCTGGGGGCCCACTGCTGGCAGAAGGGCTCTCCCTCGCCTAGGTACCAGTTCCCACTGTCCCTGGCGCACGGCTGGCCCTCAGGGGTCTACTGAAGAGCCTGCTGAGGCTGGAGCTGTGGTGTCCAGCGCGCCAGGAGGAAGCCTGGGCGTCTTGGTCCTGCCCACAGCCCTGCAGGAGGCCCCAGGAGCTCAGCCCCAAGCTGAATCAGAAGGTCACAAATGACTCCTACAGCTGCGGTGGCCCCGGGGACAGGGTAGACAAGTAGGGGAAAGCCAGGGGTATCCAAAGGGTCAGACAAAGGTCCCATTTGGTTGAGCAATCAGGGAGAGCCTTTGAAAAAACAGCCTCTCCTCCCTCCCCTAGACCTCGTACGCGGCGCTGTTGCCAGGTCCCAAGGTCAGCCCTGCAAGTAGCCAGCTGTGGCGGCCATGAGGCTTCTGGCAGGGCCAGCCTCAACTCCTTTGGGGGACTGCCCCTATCTGCCCAGCAGGGACAGTGTCCCGGTTCTCACCCTGTCCCACCCCCACGTGTGTCCTCCCACGGGGCGTGGTGGAGGACGAGCACCTCTGCTTTGGCTGGTCCTATGGGAGCTGAGGCTGGGTTTCTGGACTCTGGGAAGAGGCCGCTCGTCCAGCCACCTGCTCCTCAGAGGAGGAAGGGCGGGGAGGCTCCTGCTGGCCACATCATGTCTTTCAAGAAAACCAGGAATGGGGATATTCGTGTGAACACCTCTGAATTTTAAATATCAACCACTGGCTTCCTATTTCTTTAGAACACTTTAGGAGCCAGACCAAATGTGTCTGTGAGCCAGAGTTGGCCCTGAGGTCGCCAGGTGCCACCTTGCCTCTGTAACAGGCCATCGTCCGCAGGCTGTCCAAAGACCACCCCCTCAATTTGGTTTGTCAATTGCCTGTCCTCCTGCTCCTTGCTTGACCCTTCACCGCGGCCACTCAGCCTCGGAGAACCTCGCCCTTTCTCTAGCCACAGGGGTCTCCAAGGCCCAGAGGATGCCCTACCTCCCTGGGTGTGAGCAACTCAGGGCCTTTGTGTTTGACGTCTGCTCTGCCTGGTGGCTCTTCAGAGGCTTTCCCCTTCACTCCTCGGCCCACTGGGTCTCTGCTCAGTCTCGGCTTCCCAGCCAGGCCTTCCCCAGCCCACCCTTTTAAACAGGAAACCCCCTCTCCCCTTGCTCGGCACTCCCACCCCCTCTTCCTGATTTACTTCTCTCCACAGCCCTCATTACAGACTGAGTATCCCTTATCCTCAGGAACTGAAATGTTTCAGATTTCAGATTTTGGGGGGGTATTAGAATATTTACACAGACTTTACTGGCTGAGTGCCCCTAATCCAAAAATCCCAGATCTGAAATGTTTCAAAATCAGAAACTTTCTAAGCACTGACATGACACTGCACCTGTACCTAGAACAGGCCAGTGAGCTCTGCCCACAGGCCACTGCTGCCTGGCTGTGTAAACAGCCTCTGGGGACACGGTCACACTCCTTCCCCTGACCACCATGACTACTGACTGTGGCTGCCGTAGAGACCACTGCCCTGCAAAACCTCAAATGCCTCCCGCTGGTTCTTCAGAGAACAGGTTGAAGACTCCTGATTTAACACACGGAAGGCAAGAGCCTAAGTGGACTCACAACCACTTCCACGGCACCAAGCAGGGGAGCCCGGTGCCTGAGGCACTCCCCATAAACACTGTGTCAGCGAGCAGCTCCGACTCCGTGTCCTCCTGCACACTGTTCCCCATGCCCTTCCTTCTCAGCTCAGAGGGTCTGATGTGGAGAGTTCCCTGCCTGCCCTCCCCAGGACAGAGTCCCTCCTCCTCCTCTCGGGCGACACTGGCGTGCTTTATTCAGTCTCTCCCAACAGACCAAGAGCTTCTGGGAACCAGGATCCTCTTATCTGCCAGAATCACCCTGCTCGGCACACGGCAGGGCGCACGAGGACTGTAGCCTGCGAACACGGAAGGACAGATGGATCCCCACACTGGCTGCCCAGCGGCAACCCCACCAACCCCTACCTCGTACTCAATGGCGAGGTCCGTGTGGTCATCAATGTCCACCTTGGCCATCACCACCTTCCCGTGCTGCTTGGCCACCATCTTCTCTAACCGTGGCCCTAAGATCTTGCAGGGGCCACACCACCTTGGAAGGCAAGAAAGGAAATTCACAAAGTGGTCCATATTTTAAAAAAGGAAAAAGAAAGGACATACCCTTCAGTCACAAGAACGTTACCACTCCATCCATGGGCTCCCCAGAACCTCCCCTTGGCCCACCTGGACCCTACAGGCTTAAAACTAAGGGAGGGAACCAGTAACTGCGCGGCTGTGCCAGCACCTTCTCAGCTTAGTCCCAAACCAGTGTCCAAAGAAACTGAGGCCCATGTCAGTGAAGGTTGTGCAGATGACAGAGCCAGTGAGAAGCACAGCCAGGATTATAACCCGAGGTTGTTTCCAAAGTGTTTCCTTTCATTCCCAAGTGACCTCTGGTCTCTGAGCATCCCCAAGTCAACTGCCATTACTACCCTGATCACAGTGTACAGGTGATCCCCTCTTGGTGGGGGTTAGGAAGAGCGGAAGAAGCTCTTTCAGGACAAATGCTGTGCTATCATCTCTGTGTACGTGGACCAAGGACAGTGCCTGGCACTGATTACATACATTTGCACCCCTCTTCCTTGTTGAAGAAAAGATTATCATTGATCACTTCAGAAACCCTCTCACTAGACCAGGAGGTAAGAATAACTCCACATGCCCCCACTGACAACTAAGTTATTCTTAGCCTTTAAAACCCTTCCATTCAGAGATTCTAATCAATGAAGCTGCAACACTGAAAAGACCCAGTCTGCAAGACCTTATCTCCGATTACAAGAAAAGGAGTACAAGGACAGCACATGGCTGCCCAAGGAGATATGGTGAATCAGAACAAGAACCAGAGAAAAAGAGACATGCCCAGAAAAACCTCACATCTTTTTTTTTTTTTTTTTTTTTGTTACTGGGGATTGAACTCAGGGTCACTTGACCACTGAGACACATCCCAGGCCCTATGTTATATTTTATTTAGAGACAGGGTTTCACTGAGTTGCTTAGCGTTGCTCAGGCTTGCTTTGAACTCATGATCCTCCTGCCTCAGTCTCCAAAGCTGCTGGGATCACAGGTGTGTGCCACTGTGCCTGGCCTAAACCTCCCAACTTCTGATTCAGAGAGCACTCGTTCATTTCAGGATTCATTTTTCTTTTTTGACACCAGGGACTGAACCTGGGGCACTTTATGACTGAGCCACATCCCCAGCCTTTTTTTTTTTTTTTAATTTGAGACAGAGTCTTGCTAAGTTGCTTAGGGCCTTGCTAAATTGCTGAGGTTGGCTTTGAATCTGTGAGCCTCCTGCCTCAGTCTCCCAGGATACTGGAATTACATGTGTATACCACTGTGCTGGACCGCCTCCCAGGATTCTGAGAGGTCTAACTTTTTTTTTTAAGCTAGGATCTAGCCAGGTCCCAGTGATGTGGAAATGAAAGCCAGGCTAAAAATCAGGCCACAGGCATTTATCTCTCTCTAAAACACACTCCTCCTACATGCCTGGGCACTGCTATGGTGGCACTGATAACTTTTGTCTGTCCTACCCACAGTTTTAGTGGTGAGATATCAAAGTGAAGTCAACTTATCTGTAGGGCCAAGCCACTGGTATACACTGAAAGCCAGGTGATGCTATGTTCATATGTTTTTCTGACTCTGGTCCCAGCTGAAGATAAGCTTTTCAGGAAGTGGATACAGAATTTAAGTCTTTCCCAGCACTGTTTACCACTGTCTCCTACCAGATTGGACGCTCTGTAACAGCAAGGACTGTGTACCTGTGTTTATAATGAGTCTAAGTGTAAGAAGCCTTGAACATGGACCTGGGACATAGCAGGCACTCAATAAATACTTGAACAGGTGAGACCCTGGTTGCACTGACCCCCCTTGTACTCACTGTGCATGAAAATCCACAACCACTGGTGTCTCACTGTTAACAACTCGGTCTTGAAAGTCAGGTCCATCCTGGACATTAAAGGTTGTCCAACAGACTCTGGTGGTATATATTGTCCGGGATGGGCTGGGTGCTACTGTCAGGCCACCAGAACAGCATTTGGGGGTCTGCAAGGCCTTGGAGGTGAGGGGTGCCCACCGACCCTGGGGGAGCTTCCTGGAGATGACAGAGGCCAGGAACCTCCTCAGGAGAAGTCGCTGAGCCATCTGTAAGGGAAAAAGGCAGGATGATCTGGGGGCACACAACAGGAAGTCAACACACTAAGAAGATAAAGGGATCTGGGAATACTGGGGGGTTTAGAAAAATACAGAAGTGGATGCAAAAATGCAAGCAAATATATAAGATTTCTGGGGTAGAAGTGAGGAATGAAAATCGAAAGATAGAAAGCAAACCAGAACAGGAAAACGAAGTTGACAACCAAAAAGAAATCAAGATTTAGGTGGAATCAGAAGGACGAGAGGGGGGAACTTCATTTGCAGAGCACCTGCTGAGGTCAAGTGCACCACTGGTCCTCCAGGATCAACTCTGAGGCAGCTGCCACCTAGTCCTGCCCGTTTTCCAGATACGGAATCCAACCCGGGTGGGTTACTCGACATACCCCAAACAACTCAACCATTAAATGACAGTCCACGTCGGAACTCACGCCGTCCGTAAAGTTCTTTATCTATTGCTTGCTCTTTTAAAAAAGCATTTGAATGAAAAATTAAGGGAAAAAGGTAAGGTCGAAGGACTGACAAGAAGCCCAACTATTCAGAGGAGGAACTAGGAAACACAGGTGCAGGAGTGCACCGGGAACCAAGACAGAAGGAACGGCGTGGAGGGAACCCGAAAGGAGGGACGTGTGTGGAGGAAACTGGGGAAATCGGACGCCGCCAGGGAACTCCCTTTCCGGAGGACCAGGTCTCCCCGTCCGGGACCTCCTCCCGCTCTCCACCATCATGCGCAGGAGCGCGCCTGCGGCGGTCTATGCCGTGACACTACCTCGAGCCACCCCCGGGAACCTACCTCCCGGCAGCGCGAGCGGAGGGATGCACAGCCCTACCCCCGTCTGTCAAGGGCACGCCTGTCGTCACTTCCTCAGGGGTGGGCCTTTTAGCGTCACTTCCGGGAACCGCAACCAGGACGCGGTGTCTCTGCAACTTGAGGGATGGCTCGGATTTTCCGCCAATGGGGATGGCAGAAAAAGGGGCGGAGCCTCAATTAGGAACCGGAAGAGCCTGGCGGACCCGGGTTGGGGACCGGAAAAAGAGGCGGAAGCAGGCGGGGCTAGCGAGGGAGAAAAGGGCGGGAGAAAGGCGTGGTTGTGAAGTTACAAGCTCTTGGTTTCTACTGATTTCAGCCGTATTCCAGCGGTTCCTAGAAGGGCAAAAAAATTCGTTTCTCTCCATTTTACAAAAGCCAAGCTTCTCAAAGTGTAGTGCCTTTAAAGAAAATAGACTCCCTACCCGAAGAGGCCACCCTGTGGCACTCAGGTCATCCACAGCTGTATGACCTCATGGTTGTGGGCAGGTCACTCTGCCTGTGAGGTTTTCAGTTTCCTATTATGTGACATGAGGGCCTAGGCTTGACTACTTCCAGGTCCTTAAGCTTGTCTCTTTGGAGCTTTTGGGGAAACAAGCCCTGGTTGGGCTCCAGGTAAAATGCAGTGAACTGTGAACCTGCTTGGGCGAGGGGCCTTCTTTTCACACTCATTGCCACTGTCACTTGCAGCGGATGTCTAGGCACCTGTGTGTCCCAGCTGGTATCGTGGCTACTGCTTGTCTTCTCTGCAGTCTGTACCTTGTATTCCAGTCATTTACCGCCTCTTAAAAGAGTTCCGTGAATATATTGATGCCTATTTCCTTTTCTGGTCTTTGCTTAATTTGAAATGCTTTTTCTCTCTACATTTAGTAGAACCACCCCCCCCATCATCTCCGGACAGCATTGCTTCCTTCTCTCTGCTGCTTTGTTGATAATTCTTTGTAACACATTGCAGCACCTCTTTCACCAGATTCTGTTCTTCCCGAGAGTAGGGATTTGTGACTGTTACTGACTTGCATATGGCCAGTGCCAATCTGGTCAAGTTACAACCCCTTGTTAGGTGCAGGACAGGCTAAATAAGTTGTCTGCAGGGCATGCCAAACAAAGTTAGCTGCAGGATGACCTGGCCACTCAAACCCTCTGTCTGGTTCTTTATCACCTGTTTGCTTCAAGCCCAAACCCCCAAGCCCCATTCAAGACTGAACACTCAACTCGCTGCTTAAGGCTGAACACTTAACCCTCCTTGTGCCAACAAGGCAGCTTGCAGACCCAGAGACCCCATTAGATTTGGGCTATAAAAACTCCCTCCTGCCAGGCCCCTCGCTCTCTTGCTCTTGCTCTCTCTGTCTCTCTCCTATGCTCTCTCTTGCTTTTGCTCTCTCCCTCTCCTTCTCTCCTCTTTCCTCTCTCTCTCTCTCTCTCTCTCTCTCTCTCTCTCTCTCTTTCTCCTCTTTTGCACTGCTACAATAAAGCTCTCTTGGTCACTCTGAGTGTTGTGGTCACTTTCCTTTCACCCCTGAGGGCTTTGTTTTCCATTATGTGACAGGAGGGCTGGGCTTAACTCACAGAGGATGTTCAATAGATGCTTACTAAACTGAGTGTCTTTGGTTTATAGTCAGAGAAGTTATGTGACTTGTCCAAGTTGAGAAGCAAGTCAGTTGGCAAGACCCATCGTCTACGTCCATTTCAACCTAGTGTCATCACCTAGTTCCAGAGTTTGCTAAAATGTCTCTCCTGCCCCTGCATTTGCAGTTGTTGCTCACTGTGGCTGGAATGCTTTTTTTATTTTTAAAAAATTTGTCCTAATTAGTTATACATGACAGTAAAATGCATTTTTTTTTAAAGAGAGAGAAAGAATTTTAATATTTATTTTCTTAGTTTTCGGCGGACACAACATCTTTGTTTGTATGTGGTGCTGAGGATCGAACCCGGGCCGCACGCATGCCAGGCGAGCGCGCTACCGCTTGAGCCACATCCCCAGCCCCAGTAGTAAAATGCATTTTGACTTTTTTTTCTACTCTCCATTTGAGAGCCTGCCACTAGATAACAGATGAGGTATCCTACCTGGCAGCACTTTCCTGGGCTGCCTCGAGGGGAGGTAGGTGTCTTCTGTTTCCTCAGTCACCACTGTCAACACTCTATACTGCCATTGTCTGCTTACTGCTCACCCTCACTCTGCTGTCAGCCCGCGGGTCCGCCTCTCTCTCCATTGCTTACTTTGGGGCTTATCACACTCTGGGAGGGCTCAGGGATTATTTGTTCCCATGAACAGAGATCAGTGACCCAAATCAAACCTGACTCTGAAGCCCGTTTTCCCAGAACATTACATGGCTCCATTGTCTCCTTCCAATGTTCCCGTCATTGTTTTGTCATCTTCCAGCTCATCTTGGCTCCATCGGGCTATTACTTGTCCTCTGTCCAATTGGCAGGTTCAGGGCACTGTCAGGGCTCTTCTTCCGGGTGGGAAGGGAATCCCTGGAACAGGTCCACTTGCCTTGGCCACCGGCTGCCATGTCAGCCTTCCACTTAAAAAAAGTCCTTGTCCACTGCAGGTAGAGACTAGGTCAGGTCTGGGCAGTCATGGCCTGTCCACCCTGTCTGACCTTAGCCTTGGCCCTCACCCAGGCTGAGAGCCATGGTGGGGCTCCCAGCTCCCCTGCTCCTCCTGAGGTCAGCCTCCCTCGCTGCAGCTGTTCCTGATCATGTCGGATGCCATCTGGCAGGGGTGCTCCTACCCTGCCCATTTTCATATCTGCTTTTCTGTTTCTCCAGCACTTTCTGTTCCATAGCCACTTATCAAACCTATTCAGCACTTTCACAGCGGTTTCTAGAGAGTCAAATTCCTTGCTTAACACTCTGAATTCCAAAGCAGTGAAGCCCCATGCTGTTTACCCGTGTTCTGTACTCCTTTTCCTCGCTTGGCCTCAGGCTTCTCATCTGAGAAACAGGAAGGATAGTGCCTCCCTACAGAGGGGTGGTGAGGCTGTGGGGAGGGCAGAGTACAGGGGCAGGCATGTTGTCAGTGCCACTTGGTGGAGTCCCCTCCCCTCCTCCAGGGACACAGTGGAGAAGGCTGTGCCCTCAGTAGCCTTCCAGGGTTCCTCAGCTACATGGTAGCTTCTCTGTCAGGCCAGAGCTGACCTGGCCTGGGTGTGGTTGTCACAAGGCAGACTCAGGGCGCAGGTCTGAAGCAACCAGAGGGAGCTGGGGCTGAAGCCTGGAATAAGCTTATTGTGTGTCAGATTGTGAGTTGGGAACCGTCAGTGGGTCTGTGAGATCAGTTTAGTGGGTTGTGATCCGCTGACCTTAGCCTCTGCCCTCACCCAGACTGAGAGCTATGATGGGGATGGAAATCTCTGAGTGTCAGTGATTTAAGTCCTGCTTGGTGAAACACTGGTTGCTTTTATGTCTGTGTGTCCGTATGACCCAGGTTGTGATGTAAAATGCTCTTACTATGGGTAAGATTTGAAAGCTCCTGAAACATTGAAGAGTCATCAAACCACCAAGCACCATTCTAGGCTTACTACAGGTATGAGCTCACTGAACCCTAACCTGGGTTAGAACAGCTTCAGGTGAGGAGCTGAGGCACATGGAGGTCCAGTAGCTTGTCCAGGTCACCCAGAGTAGATGGCATAATCTTAAAGGTGCTATACTGCTTCTAGAAGGATGGTCTTGGCTCTAGACTGCTGCCTGGCCTCCCAGCACCCCCAAACCAGCCAGCCACTGTAGCCACAGAAGGACAGTTTGAGGCTCAAACCCAGGACAGTGCTGGCTGGCAGCGGCCATAAGCAGAGGCACCACACGATGGCGGTGTGGTCCCCAGCCTCCTGTGGGACAGTGACAGCTCAGTCAGCCTGGGTGGGGGAGGCAACCTGAGAGAAAACGCAGAGAAGGGGACAGTCCATTCCTAAAGTGTCCCTAGAGGATCCCTGTTTTCAGTTTTTGATGGTAATTTTAGATATTTTTGTGCTGCTGCAGAACAATTAGAATGTGTTTTAAGTTTCACAATCCAAGAAACTGGTTTCACATTCGGTTGTGATTCCTGTTCTATCACGTTTCCAGATATTGCACAACTTCCCCCCGAATGCCATGGCTATGATGGAGGGGGGCAGGCTGCCGCGCTCCTTGCCCACCCCCAGTGGACCCCTGCAGGCTGGGGCTAATTCGGGGTCCCGCCCTCTGTGGCACAAGGCTTCTCACGCGGTCCTGCCGGGTCAGGAAGGGTGGCTCAGGTTCACAGAACTCTAACGTGCATTTACTCGACTGCGGGGTCCTCCAGGCTGCTTCTCAGGTACTGATTCGAGACCTAGGCTTGGAAGCAGGGCTTCAGGCATGTTGGAGCTCAGGTCGCTGAACACGTGGTCTTTGGAGATGGCCCTGCATGGAAATCCTGGCTCGGCCACTTACTAGCAGCTTGATGTAACCTGTCTAAGGCTGAGTTTCCTGGTGTGTGTCGGGGGCTGGCTCTGTGCGCCTCATGACCTATTTACAGATGAGCGCACTGACAGAGAGGTCCAGCGGCCCACCCAGGGCACGTGGCCAGTTGGAGACAGATGAGGGCTCACATCCAGATCTTCTCACCACCCGGCCTGTGTTTTGCTGGCTGATCTGCAAGGATGATGTGGGGCTAGGTCTGGGGATATTTGCTGTTTATATTTGATATTTTTGCTCAAAGGCCACTGGCAGAAGCAGCAATGAAGTACAGGGAATAAAAGTGACTTTTAGCTTCCAGAGATTTTACTCCCTTATTATAAAATTGGATTGAGGCTAATGCCAATGTCCTGGGGCTACTGTGAAGGACTAAGGGGGATGATGCCCACAAAGAGCTCTGGTAAGGGCCCCGAGAGGCCAATGATATGGTTTATCGGGTGCACTGTGCATGGTCAGATGCTCTCTGTCGCACGGTGCTGGGTGGTGTATTCCATGAGGATCAGCTAGGGCCAGGGAGTTGGTACAGGTGAG